AAGCAGCCTTATGGCCACCCTGTTGTTGTTGTGTACCATCAAGTTGGAACCGACCCACAGCTGACCTTTCAGAAGATTACTCATCCTTCTCCCGAGGAGGAATGAACCACAAACCTTCGGGTTTGCAGCACAGCTTTTTACCACTAGGCTACCAGAGCTCCGAAAAAGCAAGGTGGGTTGTTGTTTGGTTTTTCTCTACACTCATTTTGCAGATGAGGAGACTGAGGTATGGAGAGGTGAAGTACTTGCTTAAGACCTCACAGACTCAGGCTCTGAGTTCAGTGGAAGAAATGAGGAGGAGAATAGTCAGGCACTTTACAAGACTGGCTTCTATCAGCGGTGAGTGAGATGATGTTTTGTGATTTATTCTCTATTGAACTCGTGGTTGTACTTACACTACAGATTGGAAACAAACTGGCAGAGTTATGAACTGACAGGCAGAGACCACACCCAGGAAGCCCATGTACAATACCAACCCCAAGTCATGAGGGCTTCATAGATTTACTCCTACTCCACAGTCATGTAATTTAAAAGCCACCCTACATTCAAGAGAAGACATTCAGATAGCTGGGAAACACATGAAGAAAGGCTGTTGTCATGAGCCGTCAAATCAATTACTCATAGCGATGCTCTCCAAGCCCATCTGAGCCTTGCCCTATCCTGAGCCCCAGGCTCAAGCCCACAGTAACCGTCACTATGGTAACCCCTCTTGAAGGTCTTCTCTTTTGCTGACACTCCACCTTTCCTGGTATAGTATATCTTTTCCCAAGGATTGGCCCCTTCTGACAACATACCCAAAGCATGTGAGATCGAGTTTCACCATCCTTCCCTCTGAACGGTAACCTCGTTGAGACAAAGTTTCACTATCTGTGCTTCTAAGGAGCACCCTAACTGTACTTCCTCCCAGAGAGATTTGTTTGTTGTATGGCAGTCCATGGGATATTCACTATTCTTCTCCAATACCACAAGGCATTGATTCTTCTGTCATCCTTATTCACTGTTTAATTTCCAGTTGTATAGGAAGCAACTGAAAATACCATGGCTTGGGTCACCTTAGTCTTTTAAACTGATGTCCCTGCTCTTTAGCACTTTAAAGAGATCCATGACAGCAGATTTTCCCAATGCAACATATCTTTTGATGTCTTGACTGCTATTACCATGAGTATTAATTGCAGACCCAAGTAAAGTGGTAATAGTCAGCTTCAATCTTTTCCCCATCTATCTTGATGTTGAGATGCAATCTATAATAAAGGCTGTAGCGGTTTGTCTTTTATTCTCATTTGCAGCAAGTGCTTCAAGCTCTCTTCACTTTCTGTAAGACAGGTTGTGCCATCTGCATAGCTCAGGTTGCTGATGAGTCTTCCTCCAAGCCAGGTGGCACACTATCTTCATACAATCCAGCTTCATGAATGCTGTTTTTATGTGCTGTCAAGTTGGAACCAACTCATACTTGACCTTCTAGCCAGTTTTCAGAGGCTGTAAATTGTATGAAAGGAGATTGCCTGTCTTCTTCCCTCAGAACAGCTGGTAAATTGAGCCACATGCCTGTGTACTTCAAAGAAGTGCAGTTACTTCCTTACCCATTAAGCCACCATAATACCCTTAGCTTCCACAATAATACCCTTAGCTTCTCGAATAGTATGTAGCATATCAGGTTATTCTGAATCTATCAGCACCTCCAAAGGAGAAAGATGGGCAATCTCCTCTCTAAGACTTGGCAGCTTTGGGGTCCCAATGCAGGGCAGCTATGAGTTAAAATGAACTTGACGGCCATTATTTTAAGCATTTAAATCTACTAGGAATTTAAAGCATTTAAATCTACTGTTATTCTTTAAGAATTTAAATATATTATCATTATTTTAAAGCATATTAAATCTATTCTTTCCCATTTACACATGAGGAAACTATGGCAAAGAGAAATTAAGTGACTTACCCAACATCACAAAGCTTATAACTGGCAGAGCTGGGGTGAGAGCTCTGAGCAGCTGGGCTGGAACCAAAGGTCAGAGAACCACAGAAGAACACTGAACAGAAAAGAGCCAGGAGGTATAAACCCAACAGCTTGTGTGACGCTCAAGAACAGAGGCGTGAAATGAACCCAGGGAAAGTGATACACCAAAGTGTGAAGTCTATCCAGGGCAAGATGGTACAGAGGGTGTGAAGTGAACTCTGGCAAAATGGCAAGAAGGCCTTGTGGACCCAAAGAGTATCGCCTCTGGGCCTAATTGTGTGCAATCCTCAACATCTAATAGCTTTATCCTGCAGTTGGAGAACCTGAGGCCCAAAGAGGAGAGGAGCTGCCCCAAAAGAGCACAGCTACGAAAGGTCAGGCACTGAGTCAGGCCTTTTTTTCTCTGCACTCTGGATCTTGAGCAGAACAGAGACCCATCCCTGAGACGGAGTAGGCGAGAGATGTTTTAGATTCAAAGCCTTGAGGAGAAGGACCTCTGTGTAAAAAGTTAGGGAATTAGGACTTCTCACAAATAAAATGAGAGGTTGCCCCTAGAGGTTTGGTTTAAATATGCATCGAGGAAGCGCCGTTTCCCCGCTGAGCCTCTGACTGAGAAGACAGAATAGCATAGTGGTGAGTGGCCCATGGGCCTTGCACAAATCCCTTCCCTCCCTCTGGGGATTTCTAGGATGATGGGCAAACTGAGTTACCTTCCTGTCTCCATTGCCATCGCCCTCTTCTGGTCGCTCTTGGCATCGCTGCAGCCCAGGGAGAGAACAATGAAATGAGAGGTGGCTGTGGAGGGTGCCCCAAAGCACACACTAAAACATTTCCTTGCCAGTTTCATCTCATGCACCAAGCAGCATGCCCCAGTTATCCAATGCTGACTGGTATCTTGGCTTCTCGGCCCAAAACTCCTGGAGAAAATAAGGCCTGACAGGTAAACCTGCCTCAGAGTCATCGTGAAGGGCTGGCAACTGGGGGGCCTTTGCAGGCCAATTTATCCCTTATTCACATCTGAATCCACAACATACTCAAAACCTCATTGCCAGGTGAGTTGGAACCAACTCAGAGCTGATTTTCTAGCTGGTTTCCCATAAGGCTATAAACAGCACAGCGGAAGCCTATCTTTCTCCTGTGGCACCACGGTGGATGCTAACCACTGAGCCGCACCATCTTCTGGTTAGCAGCACGACTCCCTGACTGCCTGCCACGCCAACAGCACTCCCTTACAGCACCTTCCCACACTAATTCATCTTCTGCTTCTAAGAAGGGTCATGGCTCAGTCACTTCGCTAGTCCCTTCCCCATTGTGGCAACCACATTTCTTCTCTTTTTCAGGGCATCGTTACTATTTCAACAGGGCCGGAGGGGAGGGGCTGCTCCCTGATCTAATTAGGTCTGTGAGGGCCTGGGACACCTGCTGATCTTCTCTCAAGTCGCCAAGGAGCCAACACTTTGCCCCATCACCCTAACTCTGAAGCCACACAGGTGCAATAGGTGTTTACTCTGGGTAGAACCTTTTCTCACAGTAAGAGTTCATGCTTGGTCAACCTTCACAAAATTCTCAGGTCTCACAAAGATTCCCCACCACCACCTCAGTCCTCCAGGCTTGTAGTAGCCTGGCCTTCCCCAGTTCTAAGCAGGCCAGGCCCAGCCTAGACCAGAGTTGCTGCAGTAGCAATAATAAAAATAAAATTTAAAAATCCCAAAACCCAATTAAAGTGAAGTCATCATCATTCTACAAACAGAGACCTTGCCCACCAGCCATGTGAATCCTCCTATAGTTATTATAACCAGTTTCTAGAAAAGGGGCTTTGGTGGCTCAGAGGTTGAGCACCTGCTAAATGCGCAGCTGCTAACACTAAGATTGGTGGTTCAATCCCACCGGCTACTCCAGCAGCGATGCGGTAAACTTGCTCCCAGTAAGGATTACAGCTTTGGAAACAGTTCTGCTCTGTCCTGTAAGGTGGCTAAGAGTGGACACTGACTCAACGGCAATAGGGCTTAGAGATAAGGAAACTGAGGCTGAGAGCTGGCTGCAGGGAGGGAGCAATGGGGTCACCGCACCTGGCACTGACACACCTGACCTGCCACAACACCTGTGTGGGAGGTTCTGCCCATCTCTGTGGACTGCCTGGTGAAGCCGGAGGTGACAAAGCTCGGAGACCCGCGTGACTCGCCATGGGGTCCCAGCCACTGTCGAGGGGCGGCCAGGAGGGAGGGCCTGGGGACCCTGGTCTCTGACTCATCTGGGATCTGCTTCAGATCTATGGGCTCTTTCTGGAACATATGTCCGGGCCCTTCTGAGCTCAACGATGAAAGCTCGGATTCTGCTCCCGTCTGGACATACGAGCCGCTCGGTGACTCGCGGGAAGCCAGAATCGCAGCGTCCAGGCGACGTTTGCGCCAGAAATATCTGCGCGTCCCGGGGCGCCGCTTCCCGGGGGGTGTGTGTGTGGGGGGGGATTAGAGCACCTGCTGGCTTCCTTCTCCACCCGCCCATCGGGCGACCCCCACGCCTGGCTGGCGCAGAGGGGCGACAGGGAAGACTGCAGCGACGGGAGGCACCCGCAGACCCACCTGCAAGCCTTTTCTCTCTGCCTGCTCTTTAGCTTCTTTTTCTTACAGTCTCTTCCCAAGAGTAACCACGAGATCTTCGGGAAACTTTGCGCCAAACTTACAAATGACGAGAAACCGGAGCCAGCAACTCCATCTGAGCCTGGGAATGCCGCGCCAAGCCCGGCTCCGGCCCGCGCGTCCAGCGGTGGCCGGTCCCCACACCTGGCTGTCGGACGGCGAGCTGGCCCGGTCCCGGGCGCGCCCTCGGCCAGGGACGGCGACCCTAAACCGGCCTGGGAACGCGCCCCGGCCGTCACCCCAGCGGTCCCCGCCTTAGAGGGCGATGCAAGCCCGCTCCTCTGGGCATTGTTTTCCGGGGAGCCCGGGGACCCGCCCCGCAGACGGCAGAGCAGGCTCGCCCACCACCTCATTTGCATCTCAAAGGCAAACTTGTGCGGGACTTGGCGGGCCGCGCGGGCGGAACCTACCGGCTTTGCATGGGTCGTGGTAGCGCTCCAGCTGCGGCTCCGCGCCCTCCTCGCCCTCCAGCGCCCAGGGGTCCGGGGCGTCGTCCGAGCGCTCCCCAAGCCCCCGCGCGCCGCGGGACAGCGGCGGCAGCAGCAGCAGCAGGGGCGGCAGCAGCAGGGGCGGCAGCAGCAGGGGCCCCAGGGCGCCGAGCGCAGTGGCCCGGAGCATGGCCGCGAGGGTCAGCGGGGACAAGCGGCGGGACGCACGGAACGGCTCAGCTTGGCGCGAGCGCAGGACCCGGCGGGCGGCGCGGCGCCTACACGACGGAGCCGGGCATGCTCGGGCGCACGCGAGCGGAGCGCGGCGCCCACTGTCCGCGTCCGACCGCCGGTGAAGCGGCGCTCCGAGCTCCTCGCCCGCGGCCCGAGGCTGCGGAGGCTGTGACTGTGGCGGCGGCGCCGGAGCAGTGACCGCTCCGCCCCTCTCCGCCGGGCTGGACCACACAGCCCTCTCCAGGGGCCCCAGGCAACCAATCACTCGGGCGCCCGAGGAGAGGCCCCTCCTCTTCCCGGCACCTCCGCAACTTTGGAGGAAGGGGAGCGAGGTGCAGATGCTGAAGGCGGAGACCCCGGGGTCCACGCTGCCCGGGCACCTTTTGCCGGCCGTCAGCGCGCCTCCAGCCCCCGACAGCGCTGCTTCCGACTAGCGTGGACTTCCCCACAAGCTGCGTGCTCATAACTCACTTTGCAACTCCCTGGTGCACACGTGGAGGCAGCAGCCGCAGCAGCGGTTGGAGCTCGCAGCACCTGCAGCTCAAGGTGAGCGGCCCCACTCACTGCCCTTTCAGTGCTGAAAAATCCAGCATTTTAGTTTCATCCCCCTCCTCCAGCCGTGAAAGGAGCTTTCTGCTGCACCCACCTCGAGAACGACTTAAATTACGGATTTTACCCGCCAGGCGACTCCCATCCTTTAGCAAAGCAGTCTAAGGCCAAAAGATTGACACAGTAACAGCTGTAAGGTTCTGTTCGTAGAAATACAGACACGCCTCATTTAATAAGCTACTAGTAACTTGATGGATTAAAAAGGTCCAATTTATTAAGTCCAACTATTTTTATTTCCCCATTAAAAACAAATGCAACGTTAAAATAAAGAATAATCGCTGCTGAGAATTTTGGCTAAGAGCAAACTAAGAAGCAGGAACTCATGAACCACCACACAATCTGGAGGTCAGTTTACTGTCATGAAAGGGTGGGTATTGCATTAAAAAACACTAAGGCAAGGTTAGGAAATCGGGTGGTTCTGTTTAGGGAATCCAATTGCTAAGTAAATTCCTGGCCCTCTCACAGTAGAAAATGAACCATATCCTCTGATACCCAAAAGCAGTGGGTAAAGAAAGGTTTTCACACAGAAAAAGCATTCATTGATGGTTACTGGGGATAGGAAGGGAATGGGAAAATTAGTTACTAGAGAAGATGGATGAAGGGAAAGGCTATATATATAGTAAGGGTGGTACCAGCACAAAGTCACAGGACAATCAAAAGAAATGGAGAGAGATGCACCAGGGAAAGAGGGATCGGAGATGAAATGAGTATGTGTGCAGACCTGTTCTATCCGTAATGATAAGCACTGATCTAAAAGTGAATGAATATCCACGCACAATGAACAGAGAAGGGACTACACTTACCACGATACATATGTTTGCTCAAGATGTGTATTTGGAAATGCTGTAAACCACTGGCTTGAATCCACCAGCTGCTCTGAGGGAGAAGGATGGGCAACCTCCTCCCCCCATGATTTACTGCCTCTGAGAACCAGCTTGAGGGTCAGTGAAAGGTCGGTTCAACTGGACAGCAAACAGCAACAACTGGGAGCGGTTAGGTAAACTTCATCATAATCAAATGCCCTGAAAGGATGAGCTGCTAGTTTTAGGTCTTAAGGACCAAACCCTCCCAGGCCATCCAGGTCAACTGGCATAATACAGTTCATAAAAACACTTCATCCTACTATGTTATCAGCTGAGGTCTTAAAAAAGATTGCCAACACACATCAAATCAAAGGTTCAACTATTGTTCTTGTGAAGCAAAGACCACCAAAAGTGCTGAGAAACCATGAACCCCAAGGGCCAAATGATTACACGAACTGGATGGCGTCTGGCTGGCCCTCCTGTCTAATCGCAAAGGGATCACGGTACTGGGCCCTGGAGAAAAATGTGGAACAAAACTCAAAATTACACAAGGCATGCTTCTCTGAGAAACTGGTGGAACCTCCAAGACTTTATATATGGTCCTTAGTCACACACCTTGAGCCTGCAACTAGAATTACCCCTATAATTTCTAGGCAAACAACAGACATGCTTATAAGATGAACAATACTCCTAGAGAGAAATACTCCCTGGAACAATCACTCATACAAGATCAAAAGGGTAGCATTTGCCCAGGGAGAAAGCTCAGAAGGCTGGAAGGGTTGGGATAGAAAGGTGAAGGGAAACAATCACAGGAAGGAAGTGTAAGTGTTACAACACAGAGGCTACCTTAAAACACAATTTCTATTACTGAATGGAAAACCACATGCTCTCTGTATACATTCAAATCACAATTAAAACCAACGGGGGGTGGGGGGAGGAAAATACTGTCCCCCTTACAAAATTCCACATTTATAAACAGAGGTATCTGAAACCCACCCGTATACTTTCAAAACAGAATCTTTGATTTACAAACATAAAAGTATTACCATTAAAGCTTTTCAAAGGCCTTTTTAAGCACAAAAAGTGGCCCTAATTTTTTTTTTTTAAATTGTAAAACATACCAATATGCAGATTCTGAGCATCATACTCACAGAACCTGTTTTAAAACCATGGACAAGAAATGGCTTAACCTTTTCTCCTGGGTTTCTACATGATTTCACAACCACAAATGACAAGTCAGTAAGAAGCCCTGAGCAGAGCTTTCTATCCAGTCCTTGCATTACAATCATCTGTCCTCTTATCTATTAGCCAAGATGATACAAGCTCCAAGAAATGGAAAGTGCAAACTCTGTTTCAGTCTTTTTTGTCAAACGGGAACATATAGGACTAGGACTGGGCAAGGTCTGGTTGGGAACTGACAAGCAAGAAAGGGGGAAAAATTTTGGAGGCAATGGATCTCACCAAATGGTCAGTAAGGCCAAGTGGCCAGCAAATAGGTGATAGGTGTGGGAGGGGGCCAAACTGCATCTCTTCCTGAATGCTGGAGTCAAACCCAACGCCATCGATGTCTGCATTCACCCCAGTGAAGGTCATCACCTGTCAGGAAATAAGTCCACAAAGGCAACATCTAAAAGTTCAAACAAGCCTGTAACACTTGGCAGGTGTCCAGATGGTACTAGGCAAACAGCCAACTGGCTTCCTCATTAGCAGAGAATTCCTCGAAAAGTACCCATTAGAGGAACTTCTCATGTAATCACTGAGGTTTGAGAATTTTACTGCCTCTAATCCCACCGAGTGACGAGCTGCCAGGTTTTACCAACACATCTTTTCTAAGTTTTACTAGGCGACCGAGCTGCAGTTTTATGTCCGAAGTCCTGTCTAGATGCTAATTTGGTTATCAAATAGTTTATGACTTACAGGAATAGAAAAGTAAGACAGGAACAATTGAAAAGGGACTGCTCATGTTTTGCTCATCAGTTCCATAGTTTTGCTCTTCATACAGTTTTCATGTTTAAATTCAAATAATTTTTTAAAATAATTTTAAATTCAAATCACATTTTTTTTAAAAAAGCTCATGAAAATTCAGAAATGGATAAAGCCGCTCAATTCTTATCTGGGATTCTTTGTAGTTTCCTCCTCAATCTCATGGTCCTATGGAAAATCTGCCAAGTGTTATAATACAAGCCTCTCCTTAGTCAGATGAAGATCACTCATTCACCTTACTGCCTGTTGTTATGGGGTACTATAGAGTAGAACCGACTCATATGACCCTCCAGCAGGTGTTCAGAGATGGCCCATCCTTCTGCGGAGCGGCTGGTGGCCTCAAACTGTGTCTTAGGGCTTGCAGTTCAGCTTCTTGCCGCTAGGCCACCAGGGCTCCTTCAGGCAACAGTATCAAACAGCTTAAGTCAACAGTGACCAGGTTCTCCTAGTTTATTATCAACTACTTTATTTGGGTAGCTTTCCTCCTCATTCTGTCTTTCCAGGCCACAGTGGCTACACTAGGCTTAGAAACATCAAACTGCAAGGATGCTCACTTAGGACTAGGCAAGGAGTTTGTCCTGATGTACAATGGCATCACTATGAATCCAACAAGGTCAATTCAAAGTCAAATGACAATGACAAAGTCAAAACAGTCATCTCTCACGACAAGGTACAACCTCCAGGATGACGTGGATGCTTTTATCTGCTGGCTCATTTCTGTTTACAATGCCAACCACTGAGAAGGTACTTTGGAGAAGTAGTTAAAATCATCTAGTATTGTGACAAACTCATTCTAGCCTTTGTTTAAAATCTTCATGGCCCTTCAAATTCTCGATCCAAGATCCTCAGACTAGCACGCCCTCCATATGCTAAGTTCCCACCTTTAAAAGTGCTACTTCCTCAGAGCTTTCTCGTTAGTTTTACTCCTTTCTATCTCCACATTTTTGCCTGGAACACCTAGATAAACCCACATCATAGAGCCAACAACCAGCTGTACAGCAATGACCCGAGTTAGGATATTTAACTACTAATGTCTCCTCTGTCCAACTGGCCTGGAGCAGTTCCTCTGACAAACTTCAACTCAACACCATGTCCTGTGTTTCATTCTCTGGACTCTAACCCCTTCTTCACTGGGGTGAATGAAGACATCTACGGCACTGGGCCGGACTCCGTCATTCATCTTCAAGTGCTTTATTAAGTCACCAGCCTTGACAATGGCCAATTAAAATGGCTCCTACTATTTATCTCCTTATTTTTAAAACTTGAACAACAATTATCTTAAGGTTGAAAATTAAAATAATTTCAAATACATTTGTAGATTATCATTTATGTCACAAAGTACATTTCTCAAACTGTTATAGATTAAAAACGGAATAAATTCTCTCTTTGAAGGCAAGAAGCTGGCTGCGTGATTTCATGTCCTTAAGTTTTCCAACCAGTTCACGTAAGGTATTAGAATGGATCCAAATTTGGACCAGTGTAAGCTACTGACTAAATTAGCAAAGATCTATGTCAAATGTGGCAACTAATAAAACTGAAGAGAGTAAAGAACCAAGGAGGCTGGCAGAGAGGTAAACAGCTAGTTGAAAATGGAGATGAAAAGTTACAAATAGAGCTGGATAAATTAGCCACTGATTTTGACACAGTAAAAGCAAACACTTATATTGTACAGAACACAAATTTTCACCGTAATTTCTACATATATCATCTGCTCCTGAGGCTAGAGAGGTGCCAGCCCATCTTAGTCCTAACAATCAAAACAAGGTCCTAGCTTTGATTATTTCTGTGCGGAAAGGGAGAGATGTCTTAGCCGCCTTTGTTTCTTACCTATAAACTGGAGCTCTCTGTACCCTCTGCGCTTCACTTGATCACTGTGACAATGTCCGTGAAAACTGCTTTGGAAAAGCAGTAAGTACTAGGCAAAGGCAGTGCACTAGGATGCGTGAGCCAAAAATGGTAACACTATGTTTTAAAATTACAAACTTTAGGTACCGTACATTCGTTCATGCTTTCTGTACATATAAAATATTTCCAAAACATAAAATCATAGGAAAACAAACTTTGTCTTTTAAAATTTTCCTTTCAGGTTTACGCTGAGACAGCCCACTGGCTGTTTCTGGTAAAGTTATGTTGAGCTCATCGTGCTCACTTGCTTATGGTCTACCAGGGTGGGATCTGTGCTACGACAGTAGAGCTGTGTGGCCAAAAATCTTTATTACTTGCTTCTGTACAGGGGTCTGTTGACCCAATTTACTTATCTGTGGAAAGTTACTAACAATCTCTTCACCTGTATGCTGCTATGAGTTGTCCTATATGCCTCATTCACCTGTTTCACAAAGGAAAGAAATAAAGCCTTCAAGGGAAGTACAATGAACATTTTATTACTTCTTAAAAATCCAACTTCAGATAAATTAACAGACTAGATTATAGCCTCAAATATATTTAATACATTAGATATGGAATTCTTATTACTGTGGAAGATGGCCTACACAAACCAAGGGTGAGTACAAAATGGAAGTAATCATCGAGCAGTAATTATTTCCTTCCACCTTTGTCAGCGATTGTCTATGCTCTGTAGGGATTCATAACCTCAGGTATGACACAGTTCAAAGACCCAAGTGAGACTGCTTTGCCAAGTACACTCTATTGTCTTATAAAACCTCACATCACTTCTTCCTTGTCTTAATCTCTTCAGATGACCAAAACTCAGAATGAGGATAAACACAACATACTGCTTTAAAATTTTTTAGCAAGTATAGTTTATCACTTCTTCACAATAGTAAAATTAGAATCTTACTTTTTGCACTTTTGACAGTTCCAATAAAAATATCAAATGAAATGGCTTTTAGGAAATGCTCTTATGGTCCGAGAGTTATTTTTCATCTTGATTTTAGACTTATAGAAATGTATGCAGCTATGTTAACTTTCTCATCTACCCTACCTCTGAATCTACTTATGTACACATTTTCAAAGTAAGCAATGTTACAAATTTTCATTTCCCTGACCTTTTTAACATTTTGATTGCTAAAACAATATATGTAGACATCTTTTTGGAAGCTATCAAACGTTAATGAATACTTGTGTCTTCATGTTACTACTGTAATTTATTACATGTTCTAGTAAATCAAGAGGATGAAGCACTAAGCCACACTAGACTCTAAACTTAGAATCCAGATTAAACCACCATTTACAAACTAACAAATCGGTTTTATTCCCCCCAGAATTAACATACAAAAGTCTTATGGTACTTGTCTTTCCTGAACTAATTACATTAATACATATCTTTTTATATATTTGTAAGAATTCAGAAAGGGTTTTTTTTAATAACATTTATTTGCAAGACATTTGGCATAAGGTGTTTAGTAAACATTTAGGAAACAAACGTGTTATCAAAATGAATACAATTTGTGGATAAACCCTAAATAAAGTGGCTTTTGGAAGAATTGAATTTGCAGCAACCACCTTTATAAAGAGGTACATCCACTTGCAATGGAAAACACCCAAAGATACCATTCACTAGGTTCAGATAATAGCACAATATAATGAAGTAGAAGACTGCGGGGCTTGATTTGTGGGCAAACTCAGTGCAATCTAGGACCCCAATATGATATACTAAAGAATGCCTTACCATTTCTCAAGCATCACATTTCCATTTTCTCTTACCCCTGTACCAGGATAATGTATAATGATGCCAACTACCACTGTAGTTAAATTGCAGGAGAAACATGCGTATAGACACACATGGAAAGTATTCTTTCATTTTTAAGAGTGCTTAAAGCATCAGTTGAAAAATTGAGTAAATAATGTTAACAAATCAAAGATATGCATAATTAAATGGGGTAGGAAAAATCCCACCCTTTAATTCACTTTAAAAATAAGGTATTTCACACTTTAACAACTGAGTACTATAGAGTTAAATCACATGGGAACTACATTTTTTTCAAAGCATAAACATATCCATCCAGAATTTCTATGAAGTCATAAACCATTACAGTTTCTAAAGGACTTTTCAAGATGATCCATGTTCACTTTAATCTATTGTCTTCGGAAATCAGAGCATTCTTCTTCCACTGAAGATTTCAAAGAACTTCAAATGGTGCTCAATTTAGTAGGAACTGAATGCATATGAAAGCAGCTAAACTACATATTCTAAAATGACCTTACATCTTACCTGCAAGATTCCTATCATAAGAAATGAATTTTTCATTAATGCTAAAGCTTGGTGCTTTCAGACAGACTATATGTTATATTAAAAGTAACTTAAAAAGTTACATAATATAAACAATTAAATATTGACTTTTTGTTTCTTTTAAGATTTTAAGGGCAGATTGAAGAGAAAGTGGAAGAATAGATTGCATTTAATAGAACATTTGGCTTGGTAGAATTTACCTCCAGCTTCTGATCAAACGTGTATCTGTTCACATGCAGTGGTCATTAAGAAAGCACGTTTTTCCACACGTCAACATCATTACATACCACATCACAGGGTGCAGAATCCATCAATGTATAGAAACATATTTTGTAATGAAACATCTTAACTATTATGGCATAAGTTGCACATTAAGGTTTAAATATAACTGTTCTGAGTCTTTCTAAAAATACCAATATACAGTATTGTTTTTGGTGGTCATTTGCATAGCAAACTATTAATCTAGAAACTCAATTGTTCTAGGAAAACCTCACATTATGGATAGTTCCAGAAAGATGTGTTCAAAATTAAAATCACTTGTCTGAGAAAACAATATCCTTTATTTGCTCATCCAATAAAAGCTGCCCACTCTGACCTGATCTGTACTTTCACATGGTACACCAACCTGAACAGATTTTGTGCCACATTTCAAGAAGGGTTTGCCACTCACTTTATCACTATATTCTATAATCTAGATGTAAGTTTGAGGGTTATAAAATATGGCTCCCTGTAGTGGAAAAACATAATCTCTATTTTTAAAACTGACAATCAGTGGTATTGCCTTGTGAACAGGTATTTTCAAACTGCAAACACATCTATTTTCACAAAATAATTTGGTCAGGAAATTTTATTTTAACATTCTAAAGCATGACTGCTTTAGATGTTACTTTAATGTCCCAGACAGAATTAACAAAATTAAGTGTTTCTAAATTACAAATATAGCTCCAACAGGAGTCTCAAGAAAAGAAAAAAAAAAAATCAAAAAACAATCTCCCATCCCAAAATAAGTATGACACACACATGTTCAAGAAACCCCAATGTTTCATGCAATGGTAGGCAAAGATGTAAAAAGCCACCCAATTCACACATTTCTACACCAATCATCATCAGAAAAAAGTACTCTGTAGTCAATCTGTACATCCAAATGCATCTGGGAATCTACACCTACGTTACATTATTTAATGTTATATACATGTTTGCACCCACCCTTTATGTTTTTAACATTTTTTTTCTTTTTTATGTAAAGCCTTCATTCAGACCCAGAAAAGCTGTAAGACTAAGTTCCAGGGAAAATTTAAAAAAAAAAAAAAAAAAGATAATCATTTTAGACAGTCAGTTAAAATGCTGTTTTATCTAAATCTCAAAATGTTTAATAAAAACAAGTATCTCCTCCATTTAACACTTTGCTTTCTAACTGTACAGTAAACTGCATTGTAGAGAGTAGAGTACATCTCTATCTTCAGACTGGATCTTCTTTGGATGGAATCAGATGTTAACTGGACAGTTTTAAGATAAATAAATGGGAAGTTGGTCCAACTAAGATGAAAGTAGATATATTACATGCAGGAATTAATATTTTTAAATTCTTTCTTTTAAAAAAGGATGCAGTTGAATTGGTAGAGGGGGGAAAAGAACTCAAAAAGGAACCCAGATTCAATACATAAAAATGTCCCACAATAGGTTGATGATGGCAGTAAAAATAAGAGAAAAAAGTAATCTTTCTGGAACATTATTTTTCAATAACGTAGAAACACTAAGTGCCAGGAAGATTTCTATTGATGTAATCTTAGCATCCAAGTTTCTCTCTATTATTTTATTGGAACAAATGCTTTAAATAAACTATTTGTCCTCTTCACTGAAGAGAGCTGGTCTATTTCATCTTTAATGAGCTAGTTTTTGGGAAGATTAGCCATGTACTGTAGTAATGCCTACTGCATAAAATCCAAGCATTTGCTGTGAACAGTTGGAGAAAGCAGTCAGTAAGAACCTAGGATCAATGGAAATAGATGTTACTTTAAGCCATCCATGAAACAGAGACCCACTAAGTACCCAGGTTAAAGCCCAAATCTCTTCTTGCGCTTTTTTTCTGTGCAAGTTCCTCTCCTAGAAACACATACTGATCCAAAGTTCCAGGTTTTCTTGGGTCTCTAGTCAATTTTCACATTAGTATAGATTTTTCGGACAAAGGCACTTGTTCCCATGTAACCAATTGCTCCTGAAAAGATAAAATAAGGTATTTTAAAACAAATATACACACAATATTATCAATCCCTTACAAAACACTGAGTATTCTCTGTTCTGCAAAGCTATTTTCTAAAGGCGACATCTTTTGATTGATATTCTCTCAGATGTTAGTAAAATTTTATAATTTACTTTCCAAATCACCTCTTATCTTTATATGGTAAATCTGGCCTAATATTAATTTTTTTTTAGAATCAAGCATCAATTATTATAAACAAAAACAACTAAGTAATTTAAAATATACCTCTTTTTTAAGATTAATTTGATAATGACAAAAACATGAAGAATAAAAATTAAGTTTTTTATTTGAATATATATTATTCTAGGTCACTAGAGAAACAACAATATATGTTCCATAAATCACCTAATATTGTCTAGGTAAGTAAGAAATTACTATGGATTCTCCCAAATGAAGACAGAGAACATGACTCAATGGTAATTGAAACTCTAGACTAGAAACACTTCCCATGATTTCTTTTGTTTAAATTATAGAATTAACAAAAAAATAAGTCAATTTGAGGGAGTTGACAAGAGAGATTGATCAGTAGGGTTAGGAATGATAAAATGTTGGCTTTTTATTAGTCTCAAAAAACCAGAAAGTAGGTTTAACTGACTGTCTTAGTGAGTAAAATGTCTATCTAGAATGATTAAAAGAGTGTTTGGAACATTTAGAAATTTAGTAAATATTTACTGAGTGAATAACTTAACTAGATATTCATTGCAAATATTTCTAAGTACACAGTAACTGGACATTTAAGAGAAGATTAATCACTGAAGTTCAAAATCTATTACCTGGCTAAGTATGATTGAAATTTTAAAAGTAAAGCTTCCATGAGTTAATAATTGCACACACATACACGCAAATATTCCTAACTGGTCAACTCTGAAGAAACTTCTAGTCATTCTTTATAGGCAAGGACGGTAAAATTTCATCACATACTTTGGGCATGTTGTCAGGAGGTGGGAAAAGACATCATGCTGAGAGATGCAGAGGATTAGTAAAAGAGTAGAACTGCAATAATATTAGCACAATTACTTCAACAATGAACTTGAGGCAGGCAGAGATTATAATGGGGCAGGACAGGGCAAAGTGTTCATCTTCATAGGGTCATTGTGAGGAGCAGTAGACTCAACAGCACCTAACAACTATTCATCTAACTGGTGTAGACAAGGAAAGAAACAAACATTCATTCATTCTGCCTTTCCTATGAATGAACCTGTATCTGAAAGTAGGTAACCAAATGGTTGATAAAAGGAAATTTCTCTTTATAGAAGTATTCCAGTTGATAAATTAAGAACAGCAGTTAGATTATTGTAATAAACTATAATTGTTGTTGTTGTTATGTGCCGTCGAGTCGTTTCTGACTCATAGCGACCCTATGCACAACAGCCCTAAACCCTGCTCTATCCTGCGCCAACCGCACCGCCTCTGACACACCCATCCCGATT